AGGCACCCAACTCACCCCCGAGGACCTTTGGCTCAAGCCAGCCGAGGTCGCGCCTTCCTGACGTCTGCCAAATGCACCCAGTTTGGACTCCGGCGGGAACCCTTGATCCAACAACGGCTACTAACCAACCAACCACGGGGATTACAGTCTACCGGTGGACTCGTTTAAATTGGAAGCTCATAAAATACTTAAGTAGGAGATAAGGAACACTACCAGTTTATTTATAAATTTATGTAAAATTTCTGGTTCTTAAACATCGAAACAGATGCCCCAGAAATGTTACGTCAACCATTTGGGCATCGAAAGTCCAGGAGTTGTCTTCGATCCCGGGCTTCTAAATAATATTCAGTGGCATGGACAATTTAGTGATATATTTTGGTCATTGGTCTACGGCATACTGTAACAAGCTTGCAGTTAGACTGGTGCTGTCACAAAGGGCAAACACACCAACAGAAGACCACACGAAGACTAGTTTGCCAGCAACCACAAGCACAAATAACCTGATCTACGACCACAAGTAGTGCAGAGCGGGAGCCATCGGCCAGACTAGTGTCCGAGTGTTGATCGGCTACATGCACACATCGGTGAACAATGGACATGCATCCCGCCTATTAAGCACGGCAAACAAGACTAGAAACAATTCAGATAAGACCAACAAGACAGGCGGGAGCGTGACGCGGATCTAACAGCTAATGCGCAGCGAAGGTGCGCTCAAGAGGCCCGAAGAAATGCACAGGAAGTAGTTGAATATGAAGTAGGCGATAAGGCCAGCACGGTCCCACAGTTATGGTGGTAATGGGATAGCTTTCAAAACGTCATAACAAATACATTACGCTCGCCGTTTTCGTCTTTACTCGCAGGATAAACGGGATAGTGGAGCTAAAAAATGAATGTCAGTGCACGTTGACATACATAAGTGGTTTTGCGAATTGTGCATTGGGTCTAGGTCATCTGGGATTGTCGAAAATTCAAATAACATTGCAAAAATTTGCGCGATTGCTTATTTGGAGGAAAAACTAACTGAGCTGAAATGAAGCAAGCACGTGATTTCACTCATCTGCTGCAACATGACCGTTCAATAATAGGCCTTTATTCAAAATATCTAGGAAAGGTTACCGAAGGCGAGGACCGCAATAAAGATATGCCCTATTAGGTAGTGCAATTCCCAAAAGAACCAGAGCAGGTTTAATAATGTGTGCATATACGGCAAAGGAAATTATAGCGATCCAAAAAGTCAACGTCAGCACTTCACTAATTAACTCAGCGTGATAAATCATGAAATATGTATGTAAAAAAGCATTATTGTTGTGCAACAGAAATTAAATCTATAAGTGCCGATTGCCGGGATGCTTTCATATCAAACATCCTTAAAGATTACTAAAATACCTGCTGTTTGCTGGGGATTTATTCCAACGCCGTCGTCCGTGATTATTGCACTTGTTGCCGGTGGAACCTTGAACTAAAATCATGCATAAAATGATAGGGTATCAATTCAAAGAGTTAAGGTTAGCTATGGTATAACCAAGTTTAAGTGAGGACGCTAAAATTCCTAGTAGCGAATGAAGACGACTGTATGTTACACGTTCGCCCGATTCCCAAGAAAGTTTTTAAAGTACAGGGATTCATATCCCTTTCATTTTTTATAAGCATTATAAAAGTACGGATTTAAAATTTATTTGGGAATTGAATTAATTTATAAGGGAGTGCTGATAAAATCAAACAGCTAAAACTCTGGGTGAAAAAAATTCACCGCAAAATCAAGAAATGCAATGCGAAAGTAGTAAGTTACCATTAGCCCCAAATGCTACACCGACTAAGCTACCCCTCACGTATCTGGTATTCGTTGCGCAAGTTCATAAGCGATCGCAAAGTCAAACAACACAGTGCGACATCTGACTTCTGCTATATTTCTGAAATACTCAAAAGGGTGGCTGCAACGATCAACAAATGTGTCACTTCAGTATTGACCTGCAAGTCAACTTCTGTTATAGGATGTTTTGTTTATGGCAAAGTTGACACCGGGCAGGATGTTACTGCTTAACGGCACATGTAGAAGTCAGAAGAGCGAGTAAGGTTGTTTGGGACTAACTGGTCGATAACCAACCCGGATTCTATAGTTCCATTCAAATCAAATGGTGCTGCACTTAAAACACTAATGCTTGACTTTTCCAGAAATTAGATACACGTATGTTAAACATTCGTACGTTGGACATCCAACTGAAATAACTGTAGCGTTCTGTATAGACATGAACTCCAATGTGATGCTACTTGCAAACGGACCCTTAATATTATGAATACGGGAAGAATTATCTACCCTTGTGCGAAACTAAGTCCACGTCCTCAGAAAAGCGACTTATGCAACTATGGATTCGGGTAAAATCTTAAAATTTTAGAATCGGTCAACACTAGCTATACTAATTAGATAGTACACAAAATGAAGGTCCCCTCGCCAGAACCACTCGTTTAAGATATAGCGCTTTGAGTTATTTAGTTTGGATATGTACTAGCCTCTTTGGAACTTAGAATAAGGACTCAATTGGCGTTTGGAAATACGTCTAAAGACTCCACTTGTTTAATTTTGTCGCAAGGTAGCCCTGTCATCACAGTCTGTGAGAAGGCTACATGACGTCTTCCAACCGAAATGTGGTGAAACGTAAGTGGAAATCCTCTACCGAAGGGCAAAACGCAAGAATTAAATAATTCTATTTGGAGGAATAACTGCCACGCATACCTCCTCTGCCGCAAATCGAAGAACCGCGGTGAAAGGAGCAGATTCGAGGACATTGAGTCTACGAAAATAAGTTAAGCAAAATATGCATCATACACTTTGAACGGCAGGTTAGGATCCGATGTCAGAACGATTTTAAAGGATACCTTCGACCTAAAAATAAAACGGGTTAACTCGACACATAAAAATCCGACACGTCACCACAAGTAAGCGCACTTACATGTCACCTCTTTGACTGTGTTCTGTGGGGCTCCGAAAATTATCTGAGCGGATACTTTACTTCTTCGAATCAAGAGGTGTCATGTATTGTATTATTCAGGATCCTGGTTCAGTTTCCACTAATAAGTGTGTTGGACAGTAACCCTCTGCAAGAACAGGTAATGGCACTAAATAAAAAATCAAAACTCAGTTATTAATTAGACGTTTAGGAATGATTAGAAGTTAGACCAGTTTTAGCTTTTGTCCTGTCCTCGAGGTTTTGGAAGGCGCCCAATAGGTGCTTTACCAATTAACGCAATTTTTAAAATTGCCTGTAAACCCTCAATAGATAAATAAATTCAATAGAAAAGGGAGGTGCTCAACACGTAAACATGACAGATTGGGGTCTCGAAACGCTTGACCGGGCACCTTAAATATGAGCAATTATGGATGTTTCCTGCATAGC